CACCGGGATGGCGGGTTGAAGAAGGGGACTGCTCCGGACGGGTGCGCTGGGGAGGTGGAGGAGAGTGTTTGGGGAGGAAAGGCTTGGGTCGGGTTTGGTGGAGAAGTGGTCTGGAGCAGGAAGAAAACGCGAAGAAAACAAGGGCCTGTTAGCTTGCTGGGTTTCCCCGTGGAAGAGTAGAATAAAGCGAAGCTGACGGAGAGGTGGAACTGAAGTGGTTTCCCAGGTGAAGAAGAGGCGGGGAGAGAAGGGGAGAGCGCCGAGGAGGTGGGATTGAGTGTAGGGGACTACAGGCTGAAAGTAGTGGAGAAATCTGGGGTGTGGAAGTTGGTTACGTTTCTGTGGTGTGACGGGGCAAGGGGGAAGGAGGCAGTTAAGGTAGAAGAAAGTGTGGACAGAAGTAAGGGGGTGCAAGAGGATGTTAGAGGAAAGAGGGGGTTTGTAGAAGGACCAGGAAAGCAGCGGAGAAGAGGAAGTGGAAGTAAAACCCAGAGTATTCTGGGGTGTAGAATCCATAAAATAACATATGAGGGAGATGAAGAATGACCCTTTGACAGTGCCTGTTGCTCTGTCAGCCAGAGCCCTCTATCACGTCTGGTACGTTCATGAACGAGGTGCCAGAACCAAACCTCTCATCCTTGGTAAGGATCTACAGCGTTCTGGTCAGTGTGGGGCTCTCCGTGGCTGCACACAAGTAAACCGAGCACGGAAGTCCTTTATGGTGACTTAGACATCTAAGGATTTTTCTTTCAGTTAAAACTTTTTGTTTTTTCTTTGGTGTGTTGAATTTTATCTCAATACGCGTAAGCCTGAAGCGTTTGTTCATAGTTTTAAGAAAAAGCTGAGAAAGGTTTGATTTAAGGGACTGGTGCCCCCCGTCCGTCCGTAGGGAATACAGCTGTACCCTGCCTACCACCACTCCGGCCTGGAGGCACTGACCTCTCCTTGGGGAAGAAAGGTAGTTGATTCTTGGCTGGCAATGTCTTATAAATAAAAGCCTGAAAAGGCATAGCAGAAAGCTAGCAGTCCCATACTGGTTTAATTTGTTTGTACTTTATATTATCTGTTCATAAAATTGGGGCTATCTTTGTGGTAGTGCTGCTCTTTGTTAGGTATAAATGTTGAAGTACGTATGGTAGTGCTGGTCTTTGTTAGGTATAAATGTTGAAGTACGTCTGTGCAACGTGTAGCTGAGAAGTCAAGTTCAGATCACAGCAAGTAACTTTGTTATCTTTAGCGAGACCTTTGTGGTCAACCCCAACAGCATCTAGTCATAATATTTTTGTTTTGGAGTGTTTCAGGTCAAGATGCAGAATCAGTTACAGCTGTTTCAGTCGTTGTCTTCCAGACAGTATATTATGTCATGGGTGAAACTATAGGAAGAAGTCTGTGAAACGTTTTTCAGAGTCTTTAGACTGTGTCTGTCTCACCTTTGTATATGTGAGTGGTAATGTAGAACTTGTTGTCTTAAACTGTGAAGAAATTACTAGAGTAGCTAAAGCTGCAGTTGTTTAGACTTGATGTTAGCTTCATTGCAAAACTATCAGCGGATTTACATAGGTTAACTTGCAGTTGCAGGAAAGAGTTGAGATGGTTCATTTCACTTCTGAGTTCATCTCTCCAGAGGCCTATCTGGTTGTGTAGCTGAGGTTAAATTGCCTGAGGTTTGGGGATGGTTTGTTTGTTTGTTTATTTCTTTGTTTATAAATTATTTACTACTTTGTGGTTTTTTTAAATACTTAACAAGTCATTCTTTACCTCATTTAGACACTGAGGATGCCAGTGAAACTGACCTGGCAAAACACGAGGAAGAGGACTTTGTAGAAATGAAAGAACAGTAAGTAACCCATTCTAATCAAAAGTAAGGTAATGTTCTTTTTATTTGGTTTTTTTGTGTGTGTGTGTAAAACTTTGCAATGTTTTGGGCCAAGATTGGGGTTTTTAAGTGCCTAGCCCAATGTAATAGCTAATACTTGTATTTCTTCTCTCCTCAGTTACTTTCTCTGTTCTATATGTATTCAAGAAAGTAAGTGCTGCTACTGTTTTGAACAAAGAAATAGGTACGAGTTTCTGGGAGCAGCTGAGTTTTGCTGCAAATTAATCCCGCTGCAGACAGATCCTTCAAATAAAATAAAGGATCTACTTTACATAAACCGAGCAAAAAGCAAGATGCCTGTTAAAACCCCTTATACAATAGAATGCTAGTCCTGTCCAAGAAGATGGGCTTTTTGGAGGCTTGAAAGAGTTTCCTTTGATGTTGAAGTGTATTTGTAGTATTTTGTGTTCTTGCTTACTGGCAGAGACATGTTTTTATACAGGTCAGGAAGACTTGGCCTGTGTTTAAACCACAGATAGGTGAGAAAGGAAACACAAGTTTGCAACAGCACCAAGAATAGACTTTGGGGTTTTTTATAATGTCAGGATCTACGCGAGGAAACGCTTTCTGTTTTATAAGTAGGGAACTAATACACAAATATTAAGACTTGACAAAGTGGCAGAATGACTCTGGTGTAAAGTTTCTGGTATCTGTAGATCTAAATGTCATTTTAGATTTCGACATTTAAAAAAAAAAAAAAAATACCCTATTTCACCCTGAACTGTTTCCAAAATAATTGGTTTGGGTGCATTGTAAAAACCAATGGGGTGGCAGAGTTTTTAGACAGAATGATAACCTTTCATTGGAATAATATTCTTTTAGTTGTTTGTTTGTTTCCTGAAGTAGTTCTGAAAAGTTTTTAATTCCGTGTAAACACAGAATTGTAACCTACCTAGACAGATGGTGAAATAAATGATGTATGTTTGCTTTTCAAAGTAAAGTTGCGTGCTCTCGATCTTTGCAGGATGTATCAGGACAAACTGGCATCTCTGAAGAGGCAGTTACAACAATTGCAGGAAGGTAAGCTTTGAAGGGGATAGCTTTTTTCCTAAACAATTTTCAGCACTTCTCAAAGGTCATAGAAGGATGAGGGTTTTGAAGGATGTAAGCAGCATCCTTCACTGAATGGTGGCTCTCAGTCATGCTGCTTAGTGAAAAATGTCAGCCACCTTCCATCCTTTTTCCCTCTAAACACTTGTAGTTAAGCCTCTGCGTACTAAAGGATTTCTTAAAAGGAGTGGTCGGCTTTCTGAAAAAACAGGAAATGTGCTTATCAAAATAAGCAAACTAGAACTGTAGTTTTCTGATTTCAGATATTAGTATTTGTGTTTTAAGTGGTGTATGGCTCCTTGAGAAAATTTAATACTTGGAAAAAATAAAATTCCCGTGAGAATCCACAATTTATTTCAACTAGGTACTCTTCAGGAATATCAGAAAAGAATGAAAAAGTTGGACCAGCAGTACAAAGAAAGGATACGAAACGCAGGTAAGCTGAATTTCTTTCTAAGATGCTTCATACAACTTAAATCAATGGTTTCTATAACACCTGAAAAAGAATAATGGTAATTCTGTCCTTTAAAGGAAAGGAGCTTGCTGGAGCAAAGGGTTCTTCTGCTTCTGAGGGTATAGTGTAGGTTTTTTTGAGAGTGCCTGAAGCATGATGGGCTCGATCTTGATTTTTTTTTCAATTTTTTTTCCTTCATCAACATTGTTTGCTGACTGTTTACTAAACACCAATAAACAGTCTTAGTCTTCATTTGTGTGGAAAAAGCACAAGTAAAAAAATTGTTTTATTTTTACCTGGCACTGTTCCTAACCTGCAGTCTCCCACTTTGGCTTGTTCTTTTGTGCAATTTGTCTGAAACCTTCAGGTGCACTGTTTCTTTCATTTTGCAGGAATGGGAAGTTAGGACTACATGCTTTCCCAAAGATTTGTTTTGTGCCCTGGAACAATGAATACAGAGGGTTTGCTGCTGAAACTGTTATTCTGTATAGCTCTGACACTGAATGGGCTGCCTGTACTTTGTCTTCTGGCACTCTGTTTCAGGAGCGAAGGCCCGAGTTAATTTTTAGAGTGCCTAGCTCTCATCCCTTCTGGGCAGCCTTTATTGTGTTACTGCAGAGAAATGGCTTGGAAATCAGATCTGTTTGCTTGCCCTCCGTCTTCCTCATTTGCTCTCTTTCCAGTAGGTTCTTATCTCGGATACCGAAGCAGGGTCTTTTATAGAAGCTATTATGTGGAAATAGGAAATGTAGCTGTTCTTCCTTTAGAGAAGTTGGATGAATCCTGTAATGCCTGAGCCGTTACTCTGCGAAATATGACAGAGCGGCAGCAGCAGTTATGTGATGGCTAACGTACTCCAACCTTTGAAATAGTATAGATTGTATCTTTCTAAAAGTGCTTGGGATGGTAAAGGATTTCCTTGAGGAATTTAAGTGGATTGAACTACTTCTTGTTAACAGGAATCTGTCTTCCGAGATGAATTTCATGTACACTAGAGCTGCATTCTAGCAATATTGGGTTGCTTTGGTAAAATTAAGACTAAGTGCAAACTTCTATTTCTGGCTGGCAAAGACCAGTGCTGCAGCGACATATTTCTTCCACAGGAGGGCAGATGGTGATAACTTTCAATTTTATGATTTAAAAAAAATCCAACTGCCCAGTACTACAGGAATAATGGTCTTTTATGTTTATCCTTCCCATGTTGAGGTTTTGGGGGTGGTTTTTTTGAGAATTCACAGATATTAAAGCAACAGTTTAGATTTACTTGTATTTGATTACCTCCATAATACTGCTTCCATTCTCAATTGGTAGAGCCCTTTGCAAACAAAAGGTTTGACTTTTATTGGGCCGTTATCATCTTTGGTTTCTATTTTGTTGTTTTTTAAAATTATTTAAAAATAAAAAAGGCACAGGAGTACAGTGTTGCTACTACAGTCTTCTCCGAAACATATTTGAAGCCTGTGATCTTTACAGAAGTTTTTACTATTTCAAGTCTTGCCAAAGCTTAATATGCTGGTGAAATACGGTGACTTGAGGACTGATCACGTGCCTCAGTTGGCTTTTCTTGCCGCTACCTTGAGTAAAAACTTAGGCATTATGTCCTCTAGGAAACACAAGAAGGGGCCCATCCTGCTTAATTTCAAGTTGTTAGGAATTGCACAAACATCCGTAGCAGAACTATTTCACACCCAGAAATCCATTCGCCTCATCCCTCGGTCTGTCTCGAACTCATCATTGCCACGTGTTGGAATGTAACCTTCAGTGATACATAACGATTTCCTTGCTTGTTTTCTCAGGCATGAACAGCCTGAAATCAGAGACATGTGCGTTGAGTAGATGAATCTTCTAACAGCTGCAGAATTATTTCTGAACCAGTCGTTGCTGAAATTCATGAAGATGGCTTAAACTGTGAATTTTTGCCAGCCATACACTCAGCTACATGTTTCAAGATTCTATCTGGGAAGCTTATATCTAGTATTAATTGATTGTAATTAAGCTGGAAGAAGGATGGACTACATGCTTAGTACTGCTGGGAATAGTAGCTGAACTGAATAGTGTGGAATACTGCTGTGTAAGCTTTGCAAATCTGCTTGACAATCTGTGGAAAACTTCAATTAACAATATATTTTTGTGGAATTTTTCCATAGTTACTGTATTTTCAGCATAAAACTGTGAAGCGAGAGTAGAGTTTGGATGAGTACGTACACTTAGTTCACTGCCTCTCTTGGCTGCAATATTAAATGACTTAAAATGTTAGGGAACTCATTTTGTGCATCTTTGAAGATAATAAATTGAGTCTGTCTTCTCTTTCAGAACTGTTCCTCCAGCTGGAAGTAAGTACTCTTAATTTATCAAAATATATATTAACTAGATGGAAGAGGTATAAACCTCCTGTTTCATCAACTAGTACTTGTGCTTCTTTTCCCAGAAGGCTTAAAGAAATTTTCTTCCTCTAGCTAGCATTATTACACTTGAGATGTAGTACAGCCTACTGTTGGTATTACTTCAAGTAACTTCTGGACTTTGTCATTAAAATAGAATTAAAAGAAATATTTGCTCGTGGGCTGCTATATACTGGCTGTGCATTTGGCTTGTTTAAAAAGCTTGTTTAAATGATAGTGCTGTTTATAAATTTGAAGAGCGCTCTGCTAGAGACTTGATATGGTATGCAACAATAAAATGTTTTTCAAAAATAATTAATTCTTTTGCCAATATAGTACTGCTTTCCTAGTCACTTCTAGATGGTTTTCTGCTGATTATGAATATTGATAACCTTTAGAACTGGCTACAGTTTTGAACTGAAAAGCTACTCAATACAGCAGTTGAAAGAAGGTGTTGTGTTATCATTAACTTGAGCCATTGGTACCTTAGTTAACCTTTTTGTTCTTTTGGTTTGCATTAGACGGATCAGGTGGAAAAAAATTATGTCAAGGAAAAGAAGGCAGCAGCCAAGGAGTTTGAAGATAAGAAAATTGAGCTTAAGGAAAATTTGATTGCAGAGTTGGAAGAGAAAAAGAAGATGATTGAGAATGAGAAGCTAACCATGGAATTAACAGGAGGTAAAAATAAGACAGGCATCTGTCATTTCTCTTATCCACTCTGCTACTGCTTGGGAAAAAAGATACAAAGGTAGCAATGCTGGTTTATACAGACAGCTAGTGTGAAGGCTTTAAAGCTTTCCAAACGCTGACAGATGTTGTAGAACACAAATTGGTGGTCTTTTAGTGGAGAAAGCAGTTCATAATAAAATTTAGTGACCTGAATTACTAACAGGTGAATCAAAATAGTGCCAGTGAAGCAGCAGAGTGGCTAGGCTTTCTTATATGCAGGGAAAGGGACTTCTTTAGTTCCTGTGATCTGGCAATAAAACTATTGAGATAAGCCACAATATTGACCTAACCGGCAGTGCCAGCTTGTAAACTGTCCCTGTTTTTTTCCCTCCGGTAATAGGTGGTCAATAAGTTGAAGAAAGGCAAACGATAAAGGTTGAAATGTGCTACTTAAAGCCAGAAAAATAGATTTGTGAGCTACATTTGTGTCCAGACTCTGGAAAATGGACATTAAATGGACAGACTTCTTTCATGAGACGAGTTGGTACCCTTGGTGCCTTGGCAATGCTCTTTGCAGTAATTGACACAGTGGAGCTATGCAGAGGGGTAATTAGCCTCCAACACAAATTGTGTTGCTGTGATACTGAACCAGAAGTCTGATTTGATTCTCTTTTTACGAGCAACTCCCTCGCTTCATGGACAGATAATGCTGGTTGTGTTGCTGAGGCCTGTCCGTGAGTTAGACCTTTTATATCTTTCTTGCATAGTATCTACAGAAATTATGTAAGCTAATAATTTAATTAGTGTTCAGAAGCGAGAATTAAAACCTGTTTGGACATACTCAAGATGCTCTTGGCTTTGTACAAACTGTTAGGGCTAAGCTGGTCTGGAAAACAGCTTGGGCTATGCTGTTTCCCTGATCCTTTTTTTTTTTTTTTTAATTATGAAGTCTAGTCTGATCTTACAAACTGTGCCTTAGCCTTAACTTTCCTATTGTTATCCTACGCCTGTGTCTGTTCACTACTAAGCTGGGATACAGTACTAATCTTGTAAGCAGATTTTTATTAGCGGGTCAGGATCCGACTAGAATCTTACCTTTGGAAATCTGCATACCAATGTTCTAGGAGTCTGAAGGAATCCAATTTCTCTGTCAGTGGAACAGCTGTTAACTCTGCAAATCCAAATCGTGATGTTAAAGGGAGAGTGAGGAGGGGTAAAAAGAAGTATTTAGTAGTTTGATTTGGGGACCAGATTAATCCTCTTCAGGGAAATGGGTCCCCCCATTGTTGTGTGTCCTGAAGGGATGAGCTGTTTCATCAAATATAACTCTAGGAAAAGGCATGTAAGTAACTGTGGAGAAGAGATCCATTCTGTGTGTGTTAGCCCTCCCTTATCTCCTTCCTTCCAGACTAGCAGAAATGCAATGTGATTTCTTTAGAAGTAATGGATTTTGTTGTGAACACACGCTGGAGGCTAAGAAATAAGGATACTGGAACTGATGTGGACTCGATGTTTTTTTTAAGACATATGGCAGTTCAGTGTATACAAGGATGCAAGTTAGCAACCTGATGAATAGGCTCGTCTGCGAGTGCTGGGAGTGTTGCAGTTTCATTAGGTTGCAATAGTTGTCTCCTGTTCTGGAGCGTTGTATAGTGTGGTTCTTACCTATTAAGCCTCACACAAGACTGTGTTTCGGGTTAAATCTGTTGGTGCTTTAGCAGCTCTTCAAAACTGTTTAACATATGTTTAACAGTAAGTGTAAGATTCAAACTCTGGATTTTTTTTCCTGAAAAGTTGTTTGGTGCTGACTTTCAGCTGACTCATCACAATTTTAAGATACAGGATGCTAAGATAAAGAGAGAAGAAAATTGATCTCTCTGCCTTATTCACATTTTAAAGGTAACTCTGTGACAGCTCATTGGAAACTAATTTTTAAAAAGGAGAAAAAGCCTTCTTGACTTGGCTGCATATCACCTTGAGTAAGTGCTTCAAACCCCTCTTCTGAGGCTCTTGTAAATTGGTCTTAAATGAGAAGAACGGCTTACATTCAACACAGTAAGTTACGTTTCTAGTGTCTGCAGGGCTATTAATGTTCAGTGTTTTTCAAATTCAGCTTTGAATCCTAGAGATAAGGTTTCCTTTGGCATACAGTAGGTGGGTGGCACTTCATAGTGGTTTTTTTTAAAGCTTTTATCATAATATTTGTTCCCTTGATGTGCAGCATGGATATCCTTGTTCACCCTTGAGATAAGGAGAAAAGTAATTTGGTATATTTTGAACATGCATAGCTGCTCAAGGTTTTAGCATCTAGAGGGAGCTAAAGAGGCTTCATAGACTTAAGTGCTACCTAGGATGTGATTCAGGTGTACTTAAAGATGAGTGAATAATTCTCAGCACATGGAAAGATAGGTGAGATGATGTGGTTTGCATTTAAGATGTGGTCTCTTGGTTGCCAGTTCAAGATATCTTCATAAATTAAGGAATGATTTGTGAGAGCTTGAGTAAAGTAGTTCAGTAAGACTACCTGTAGACATTTGGACAAACTGTAATTTCAGATAATTACTTGGTGATGAGACCTGTGTTTCAATTTTAAACAGATTTTTTTCCCCAGTGCATATGCTACAATTTATTTCCTGTCAGCTGCTGCTCTGCATGTTATTAATTAGGTTAATTTCATTAATCATAATTTGAAACATTTTTAGATAATCTGAATTTAAATACTATTTGTGTTTAAAATTACTCCAGCAGACTTGTATCAATCTTGAATGCAGTAGTTATCTGTATTCCTTTGACAAAACTATTTTTCCAGCTTGAAGACAAGAAAAAGAGTAATTGTTTTGTAGCTGATGTTTTACATGCAACTAACTATCCAAGTTTTGCTAGCAAAGAACTCCATGAACTTTGCCTTTTAAATGATCTGTTCAAAAGCAGATAGCATTAGCATTAAAGAAATTTGCCCTGAATTCTTGTAGCATCATTGTGCTTTTTATGTATACCTGAAGGAGTTGTAAAATGCCCCCAAACCAACTGTATCACTTCCAGCCAACGAAAGGTGTAACCACAGCATCGCAATGCTGTTACTGAACAGTGACCTAGTATGACAGAGAACTTGTATTCACTGCCAGCAGTTCCAGCTTGGATGCTGGAAGCTATCACAAAAAAAATCCGATTTTCTGTATGAAAGAGGAAAGATTATCTTCCTTGTGCCCTGTGTAGAAAGCTGCTGCTTCTTACTCCTTTCCCTCTGGTCTTACCAACTCTCCAACTTCATTACTCTACAGATTCAATGGAAGTGAAGCCTATTATGACAAGGAAACTGAGGCGACGACCAAATGATCCAGTTCCTATCCCAGACAAGAGGAGGAAACCTGCCCCTGATATCCTTTTACAGAGTAACTGGAGGGCTATTGTATTTGAGGCCAGCATGCTACCTGCATCTATGTTGTTTTGTACAGGAAGGAAAATGAAACGAGGTGCTGGGATCAGATTTTAATCTAGGAAATACTGAAGTACAATTTGTCATGTATAATGTGTGATAAACTAATAAACACAACCAGTCTTTGGAGATCCCTCGGTATCCTAACTTAAACTTCACAGTGTCGTGAGAAAATTTATTTGATTTTTTTTTTGTCCGTGAGAATAGTTTGAATTCTTCCAGCAATTTTTTTTCACAAAGGAAAAACTTCAAAAGAACATTACATATAAATGCTCAGTTAATTGATTCCATAGATAGTAACTGGCTTTTTACATGAGCCAAAGCTTTTCTCATTTCAAGATGTGACAAAACATTTGCCAGAAAGATCATATTTGTCATATCAAACTACTTTTTCCATTTCTGATAAAGGCTTCAGATCTCTAATCCAGGGATGCATAGCAAAAGCAAGGAGTGCTAGATTTGTTCTTTGAATTAAAAAAAAGATTAAAATCCATCTTGTTTTTATATATCACGAGAGAGAGAAAAACATGTATATGTAATCCTTCTCTTCTGCCTTGTTGCATGTTTCTTATAATTAAAATGTTCTTTGGCTTCTGGAAATACATTTTTAGCTCCTCTGTGATGATAGGCACTTTTTCTATTTGTATATTAAATTCACCTGGAAAGGAAGGCAATGATATTTGCTTTGCAGAGGCTTATTATTAGATTCCAAACTTGTATGGCTTAAATCAGATTAAAAAAAACTTATCTTACGACTTCTGAGTGACTCACACTTTCTGAAGGCAATATCAAACCTTGAACTTGTAGAGTTCATGCGAGGTGGTCACAAGCATCTCCTGTTTTAATTAACCCCTTTCTGGTTGGAGATTCTGTTCACTCTTTCAGGAAAACAAATCTATTTATTGGTGCCCCCATCTCATCCAAAATAAATGAGTTTCGTAGTGAACATGACCTACTAATTGAGCATGATACAGTAGCCACAGTATGAAACTCTGTCTGCCTTTCCTCACCGGGGAGAGGATTGAAGTCCATCAGAACCAAAATCCTTAAAATGCAGCCTAGCAATTGTTACTTTAATACTTTGAATACTTTTGACTTAACAGCTGTTTTGAAGAAACACTGTAGATTAAAGCTGGAGAGAGGGTCTGCTGCTTTGGGTATTGTTTTCCTTCTGTGTACTTAGTTTTTTCTTGTGTGGAAATGACAGAGGAGCAGCAGAAAAGGGAAGTAGGAAGATGCAATTGTGAAACTACACAAAGTGACAGCAGAGCTCTTACAAGCTAAAATACAGTAACTTCTGTGTTCTGAGATTTTATTTTTGTTTTCAGGTGAATGGTAGGCTCTTATTTATCCTCATCCACACAAGGATGTGTTTTGTGCCTCTGGCTTTATTTTCTGGTGGTTCTTTGAGGTTTTTTTGTGGGGCTTTCTCCTCTTCTCCCTATCTCTCTATTCCTGCTTACTGAGTTGCAAAATAATGAGTTTCTTTTCCTAGGTTTGGGTGGGATTTGGCTTCATTGTACAAAATCTGAAGTGAGTCCATTGCATTTTAGCTCCCAGATTGTTCTCTACAGAAGTGCAAGATGAAAAACACTGGAAACGTTAGTGCTTGATGCCTCCATGAAGTAAATGTCAATGCACTAAAGGTTTTTCATTGATGGTTATGTCTGGATAAGTTAAAATGATTTTGCACTCGTATTTGCTGCTAAATATGAGGCTCTGTGGAGATGGACTTGTATTAATTCACTTGACAAAAAAAGCTCAAGTATGACACTTACTAAAATCTTACGCAACTTTACAGAAACCTTTTGGCTTATGTTTAGTCAAGTGAAATGTCATTGACCTTTAATTTTTAGCCTTGATTGTCAAGAGCTTATGGGAACCTTAATTCTGGATACCTCAGCTAAATTATTTGTTGACTGATGAGCAAATAATGGAGGACCTGAGAACACTGAATAAGGTAGGGATTATTGCTTGATTTGTATTTCTCTGTTTTAAAGAGAAAGCTAATGCTTTCCCCTTAAGAGAACAGAGCTCCCTGTTTTATGTTCCTTTTTGAGGTGTGGGACTACTTCATCCCAGTAGGCTTTCTGAAGTAACACAATAAAAGATTTAGCAAGATGGTATCTCCTCCCTTTTATTTTAATAGGTTTAATTAACCTAATTAAAATGACTGTCATCTAAAAATGTTACCTTTTGTCTGAACCAAGCGATGAGCTATCTTAAGGAGTTTCTTCCTTCCTCCGCACAGCTGAACAGATGTTAACACGTCTTTCTGTGAGATCACGGGCTGCGTCTGGTTTAGGCCTTAGTGTAGGGTGGTGTCTTTTAGGTTGTTTTTTTCTTTTTTCCTTTCTCCACACTGTCGTGATACTTCAGCAAACTGGATAGGGTGCCGTGTGTATGTTTATAGTTTTTCTAGATTTGATTAACCTACTGCTTTCTTGCTAAACACTTTAAGGCTTACCTAATGTCTTATAATAGAGGCTGCTCGTTAAGGCTTTTGAGGATGGTAGTGGAGCATGGTTTTTGTGCCAGCTGTTGAGGTGTCTCTAATGATTTATCTCCTGTATTTCGTGTACCCTGAGAAATGTTGGATCATGTTCAAAAATATAGTGTGTTAGATGGGTTTAGTTTTGACTTGTTTTAGTGGATTATCTGAATGCTCTGAAGTTCAGTTTGTAGCGTGATACTGATTATCTACACCTTTGGCTGTTCATAGCATGCAGTTCTGGTTACGTGTTATGCCACTTAACAGTACATTTGAAAAAAGAACCATTTAGAGTATGGAAAGTAAGACTGTCTGAAATTATTACTGCAGACTTCTGTGGCTCATGTCAGATCTCTAATGCTTCTTTGCTCTCTTTCCATGTAGCTTAAATCACCCAAGAGACCAGGTGAGTTAACAGTTGCATTGGAACTTGTTCACAGTCATGCTGTTTTGAACAGAGAATTATATTGTAGACTTTCTGAAGGTACAATTGCTGATTGTGTAATTTGACTGTGTAATTGTTTTGATGGTGTAATTGCTGTTCTTTGTGTAGCTGCTGTGGTGAATGGGTGCTGTGTGGAGTCTCTTCATCTGTTCTGAAGTTTGTCAGGGATGGGAAGGGAGGCGTGTGCATCTGGTGGCTCAAACATTTGGGCGTGGGACAATCTAACTGTGTAAAGAGGTTTTTCCATTATATTCAGATGCATCTGGGCAGCTTGCCTGCTTGTCAGGTAGATCGAGGGATTGAGATCTTACAGTTTTATGCTTTTAGTTCTCTAGATAAGTCTGTACACCATTTCAAGACAGAGTGGTACTAACTTGTCTAAGTAATACTGACTCTATTTACTATAGATTAGGATTAAAAGAAAATCAAGGACATACTGTCTATCATCTACCTATCAACATTTTTTCAGATGAATGTTATATTTCAGTGAATATTATAATTTATATACTCAAGGCAGAGGTTGAATTATTCATCCCAATAGAGAATATTTTTCTGATGGAAATTTGAGTTTGCAGCTTTCTGTGCTTATTATTTCTGCTTAATATGACCTTATTAATTGCAGTTCTGCAGTCAGATGTGCCACTGTGTGGTGGACACATGCTGGTCTTAAACACAGTCTCTCTCTCCTGTTTTCAGCCTCTCCCTCCTCTCCCGAGCACCTCCCAGCTACACCAGCAGAGTCTCCAGCACAGCGGTTTGAAGCCCGGATAGAAGATGGAAAACTCTACTATGATAAGAGATGGTAAGTCCTGGTAAATTTGTTTTACTCAGTCTGAGCCTTGTGTAGCGAGGAGACAAAGACTGCAGAGAGAAATTGCTTTGATAAAAGAATTTGAGGACAAAATGTTTCTGGGCGCAGGTTAGCCATTTCCTCCAAGGGCTAATCATTGCGACTTTGGTAAATCGGAAGTGATAACGGAGTGTTTAGACCTCATAGACTTTCAGGAGACACTACTGGCTCAAATAAAAGGAGACTTAAATCTTTTCCACGGAGTCAGTAGTGCACACTGTGACACTTGGGAAACAATTTTGTCAAACCTAATGTTAAGTAAGAGAGCCACCAGCAGACACAGTATGATGTAGCTGTGAAGCCGGTCAGCTAGGATACAGATACTCTGTGATTGCAGGGACAGTGGTGTTGGCAGTATTCACAGTCCTGGTGTTCAGTTTTGTAGAACACTAGCCCATCGTTCCACAAGGTGGCGGAAAAAATGTTGTGCACCAGATGAGCAGAATGAAAAATGTTTCTAATAAATCCAAATAACCTTTAAAGATCAAACCCACATGGGAGAAGCAACTTCAGAATTGCTGATTGGATTTAGCTCTGTTAAGTTTTATGGGCATGTAGTTGTGCAAGCCTCACAAAACACAAGGAAAATATTAAATTTTGCAGAGAAGTCTTAGTAGGTCTTAAACTTAATCTGTGAAACATGCAAAACTGGATAATCTAGGGGGCAATCTAGTACTCCTTGAGCAGAAAGCAAGTTGCAAGTCATATGCTTATTTGTAGCCTACTTTGGTGTTCTGTGGTGGCTCAAAATAACAAGTGACGAGGTTGTAATTTTATCATGGAAAATGATAGGTGGGAAGCTTGTTTTCTACGCAACAGCCATCTTGTACAGTTGGTCAGTTTTTCCTTCTGCTAGTCTTCTGACAGTGAAGTTTCATTGAGGATTCAATGTATACAACTCTGATAAAAGCTGCTGCCTGGAGCTTAAACTTCCATGAAGCGTAAAGCATGACATGAACTGAACAGGCTACTTGTCACTTCACAAATTCATGAAGTTCTTTTTTTGCTTTCATAATTTTTTTTTGTGTAAAGTGACTATCCTCTAGGATATATTTGGATGAATAAACTGTTCTTCAGAATTTTTAAGCAAGTGGAGTACTGTGAAGTGTTGCATAAGTTAAAAAAAAAAAAAGAAGGAAAGATGGAATCTGGAGTAATCTGTCAGTAAAGCTCCCAAGCTCCCATCAAATTTAAACCTTGGGAGAGCTTCAGTGAGCCCAGATGAATCTCTCAAAAGCACCAGCTCTCTCTGAAAGGTATCTAGTTGGGACATAAAACACTAACGGATATTTTCATCTTGCTGAATTCAATTGTCATGGGGCTCTCACTGTCAGGAATTCCAGCTGTTGCCTTTCCTGTCTGTCTTGGTCTTACGCTGTTTTAAGATAAGTATTTTATGTTTTTTGGCTGTAATAATCCTGCTTAGATTTTTTTTTTTTGATTGATAGTAATAGTACTTGTGCAAAGTAGCTGGTATTTTAAAAGAATGAAGTAACTCTTGATAGTTGGAGGGTAATTTTTTCTAAGGTATATCAAGGCTGTAGCTGCTGGCATGCACCAGAAATAATAAAACTGACAGCTCAGGAGTGACTCCTTTCTCTGTTTCCTGACAGCAGCCATGAAGGACCATTATCTCAAAATAGTGAATGTTTAAGGCTCGTAATGGACTCCCTAAGGTCTTGCAGAGACACTTCACAAGCATATCTCCAAAGTGGAGACTTTGTATAGGGAGTTTCAGATGGATGTGGAATTAGACTTCAGCTTTTTATCCTCAGTCAGTTTGCTCCCCGTCAGATCCTAAAATACAGTTCACTGCAAAACAACCATCTTTTTGCTTTTAGCTTTGTCTGCATAAAATAACGTGGAGTGATTTCTTTCAATCTTCTAATGGAGATGCAGTTGAAAATCTCGGCTTTTCAGCAAAATATTTTGTAGCAGAAAGTGGAATTATTGCTGCTTGCCTCACTTGTCAGTATTGTGGTGTATTTTTACCTACTGCAAAAGCAAGAGTTGTTTGGCACTTTCCTTCTCTTGAAAGCCAGCTTAAAATCCATTGCATTTTTCATCTGAAGTATTTTCCTCAGTTCTGCCCCTCTGTTCCCCTGTGGGTATATAAACTCGGCAAAAGGCTGAGACATGAACATGTAACTGGGATGTACCAGGCTACTGTGCCTTCAGCTGACCTGTCTCTCTGTGTGCATGGAGCATGAGACAGTTGAGACAACTCTTCAATGAAAAAGCGCTGAACTAACTTGTTACCTTACCTTTTCTGTGCACAGTTAACACGGATTTACTGGTGGACGGTAACTTGTGATGTGAAATCCAGGGGCTGAAGCCAGCTTCGTGTCTGTCATTAGCTTTGATAACCAAAAATTGGGAGAAACAGCTTTGAGTAGAAAAATTATTTCATTATCTGTGCCTGCACAGATATCACTCGAGAGCTGTCATTTGCAGTGGTATCTTCTGCACTCAGAAGCTTATGCACTGATTCTATAGAGATCATCAATTCTCCTCACTTAAGTGGTCACAGCATGGCGTGGTAGGACACTGCTGGACTGAGATTTTTATGTCTTATCTTAGTGAGGTCTGGTTTGTAGTAGCTTATACTGTTCCTTTGTATCAATTAACGATCATCTGAGCTCAGTAAACTTGAGATTTTTTTTTTTTGGCTCAGATCATTGCTGCTATTACATTGCCCTGGAACCCACTGACATCCTTTCTGTTAAAATGAGGGAGAAAGAATAATGTTTGGGCACAAGTATCTAAAGGTTGCAGAATTTGAGCGGGTTTTTATTACCTTCCCCAGCCCATTGGTGATTAGTACGTTTGGAAGGCTGAAAGCTGACACTACCATTCTTGCTACTGGCAAGCAGTGTGAAAATTCTGAGCACATGAGCCAGTAGGAAGAGATTATGGAATAAACTATTGGAAGACTTCCATATTTACAGTATGGTTATTGTAGAAATAACTGTAAAGGTTATGCAAATCCATGCATTTTGACAACTGGCTGTCAGCCCATCAGACTGCAGGGAGTTGCATACTCAGTAGTTGCTGAGGGAATCTCTGTGCAGTGATTCTGCAGCTTGGATTGCCCAGTTAAATATGAAGCGCATCATGATTAGGGTAAAGGTGGAAATATAGTTATGCTTTTATAACTATAAAGCATTTTGGTAGTCTTGATTAAGATTATTTACTTACAAATAATCTGTTTCAGTATAATTAGTTCTGCCTACAGAACTTTCCTAGGCAGAATAAACAGAAACTTGGGAGTTTTGTCTAGCGCACTTTGTAGCACTTACCAGAAACATGGTCTGCGAAGAAGGCAAGACCATGAAATTAAGCAATTCAGAGTTACGAATTTTGACGTTTTTACTTTGTTTTATACAAAATGCACTAAGAAAAATATATAGCATGGCTAAAATATGATCTAAAAGGGGGGGAAAAAAATGGATATGCTTAGACACGGCCTCCTTATGGCAGGTATATACAGCTTCTTACAGAGTCAGTTACCCATCGCTTACCATTTTGGATATTTTCACAAAATAAGACAGTATTAGAAATGTGAGATCTCTGTTTAAACAATAGACTGCAGTGATGGAGTACAATTCACTTTGTTGTTGTTGGTGCACTAGTAATTTTGTACTGGGGAATGTGAATAACTTTTTAGTATCTGTGATTTGCTCTGTCACATTTTATCAGGCATGTGGAGTTGCCTTCTAAAATCCGTCCTGTGTCCGAAATGTGAAAGGCTAGTTTGATTAACTCTTGAAACATGGGCTTATTGTCAGTCAGTGTTCTCCTATCTTGTGGCTTGGTGCTCTGCCCCTCGCTCTTTCAGATGTGAAATCTGTTTTCAGTAATCTGCATACAGAATTGAATGTGAATTGAGAGGGCTTTATGTATTCTGAAGCATCGTTTAAATGCAAAGTGCATGTGTGTAGAATCAGACCACCCCCTACGTTGGTGAAGGTGGGGAAACTGGTGTGGAAAGAAAGACAGACTTCATATTTACTCTATCCAAATGCTTGTAGAATCCTAGCTTTATCAGTCTTACTACTGTTTCTTTTCTCAATCTTTGGATAGCTAATAGTTTCATGTGTTTTGTTGTTGTTTTTTTTTTTTATTTTTGCAGGTACCACAAGAGCCAGGCTATTTACCTGGAGTCTAAAGAGAACACTAAGATCAGCTGTGTGATCAGTTCTGTGGGCGCCAACGAGGTAGTGGGCTGCTTTGTTTTTCATAGGAGTGGGGAAAGCCGTGGGTCAGTGTAGGCAGGTGGATGGCTATCTGTTAAGGACTAAGAGAAAATCAATATTACTTTCAGAAAATATGTAATTGTCTGGTGTCTAAAGAAGCTGAATCCAAGATAAAAGTGAGTTGAGAGATCTCTTCTTGAGATAGATCTGAGATGGGAAGAAACTTGCTGTGTTTCTAAAGAATTATCTTACATTTGCAAGTAGTATTTTGGCAGGCAGGGAAAATGGGGAGAACTGACACATTGCATCTCATTGACACTACATTCATAAGTTCCATTTCCATTATTTCAAGAACATACATACAGTTATTATTAATGCAAAATTAAAAAAAAAAGAAAATCCCATTGGGAATCCAGAACAGGATGAGGAAAAATTTTTGTCACCAAATTTAGTTGTTATAAGGGGAGAAAATTCTTCCTGCTAACCTGAGTACATGTGTTGTGAAGTAAGCAGGCAGCATTCATCACCTACTTGGGAGATAGGGCAGGTGAGTCATTTGTCTGAGACAATTTCCTTGTGGCCAATGATTAAGGCTTAGAGAAGCAGGTGAAGAGAGGTGTGTGCATAAGATTGATGTGAATCTTGCTGCAAAATAAGCTTAGTGCTTGAGCAGTGCATCAGTTGGGCAAAGGGAGCAGTTTATTCTTTGCTTGCAGATTCCAGACACTTCAAGGAAAGAAACGATAGACTTGAATGCGCTTCTCTTCAATCAGCCAATAAAGTAACTTTAATTTGTTTTGGCAGCTAAGGGGAAAATATTTTGTTTTCAACAAAATGAGTTGAATATGGAATGTGCTTTGTGTCACAACTGTTCTTGCAATAACAGTCGTTATGCTCAACGGTTGGTTATTTAGATAAAGTAGTAGTAGCTAGCTAATGGATGCGTTAAAAATATATGCTAATTTGATTAAAGTTATTACTGTTAACTTAAAACATTAAAACTCAATCTTTTGGGAGCATCTTACCTGAAACACGAAGGAAATGCAATCCGTTAATTATAATTGCATGAATTCCACTTTAAAGTGAGACGATAGGTTTCGTTTTAGTTTTGTGGGGTTTTTTGAGAGAGACTGGGGAGGAGGCATGGCAATTGTTTGCCCTGTGATAGTTTGTTGCAATAATATAAAGCCAGGGGAGATAAATACTTAACAGAATACTGAAATGAGAAGGTGTTTTCTTAGGAGTACAATGTGCACATCTCAGATTTCATCACACATTCAAAAGCATGGTTGCCAAACTATGATCTTACAGGGTCCTGCTTGAATTCAGAAGCTAGAAGGCAGACCTAGATTTGAGGTCTCTAATTGTAGACTGGAGTCAAAAGTTGATAGCATTTCTAAAGGAAGTCAAGTTATTCAAAGGAACTTTACCCAAAATATTTGCACAGAGTGTCTCCCCACCAGCATTTCCATTAATGCTCGAAGTGAAAAGACTTAACTAAGAAACATCAGAGACATTATGGCATACAGTTGCCTTCTTGTGGCTGGGGAGAGGAAGTAGTTAACAGTGTATCAGATCATCTTTGTTCATACGAAGGTCTAAATCAGTTTTCTTAAACTGGATTTTAATTTTGTAATTGGCTCTGGGCCTCTCCGACTCAGAGTCTGAGCTATGATGATCCCCCTTAAAAAACAAACCACAAATATCTTCCCAGGCCTGAATTCTTTAAAACTCGGTGATGTGTTTAGATCTAAAAAGAATATATTTCTTTTACTTCCAATGTGATTTCCTTGGAAACTGTGAATCAAATACTGCATTGGTGGAAATCATTGGCCAAGTGCATGGAACCAATTCAATCATTTGCCTTTTGACGATAAACTCTTCAGTACGTGCAGGAAAGTTTGTTTTGGTTTTTTTTTTTATTCCCATGAGTTTATTCAACAATCTCAGTTTGTTGAAAGTTGAAAAAAGGAGGAAGCTTATTTTTCTTTTACAGTCCAGGAATAAAAGAAATTCATAGTTGGATTTGGTTCTTTCTATTCACCATCTCCTTCAGTTCTTTAGAATTAATAGATATCTTCTGATTGCAAAATACACTGTATGTCTAAAACATCAGTTTTAAGTTCAGAATATGTCTTGATGCTTTTATTTTTCTGAACTGTGTGGCACATTTTGGTGTTGATAAGTAATTTCACTGTTGTGGTCACTTAAAACTGAATTTTAATTTTCCTCCAAATGGAGCTTAACAAAGCGGTTAACTTTAGCAAAGCAAATATACCATTCTATCATATTGTGATAGAATGTAAAACTGTACATGTTTGTTCTGTACAGTTGCTCAGAGTTTGTAGATTTAAGAATTCTTTTGGTTAGTAAAACATACCCAATTCTTGGAAACGTTGCAGTGGAGAGATGATTATCAATGAAGTTGGATTCTAATTTCTCTAGAGAAATAACTGAAGTACAAATGCAGGCAAACATTAAATTTATTTTAAATTGAGGGCTTCTGCTAGTAAAGTCAATTTATAATTAAAACAAGAGTTAAATCATTCAACCGTGCCCAGCCTGTAGCTAATATGGTATCTAAAAAAAAGTTTTGGATAAATCACATGCCAACACTAACTTTGTAGTCCTTTGCAGCAGGCAATACTGGACTTCCATCCTAAAATACTCTAGTACTAAGAGCTGGATAACTCTTATTTTCCATGCATTTATTTAAATATGTTTAAACACATTAAAATGATAAAATCCAGAGGAGTTTTGCTCAGATTTGATTTTTAAAGTACAGGTATTTGGGTCTAAACTTCGTGAAAGTGACTTTTATTTTTTAAAAATTCTGAGTGGCTGCCTCCATGGAAGCCATTTGTCCTTTGAAACATACTGTGTATCGGCAAGTTATGTGAATTCTTCCATGCAGGTGTTTAAAAAAGAGGCCCTTTTATCTTCAGATATGTTTTATTTAATACATTGTGAGAAATGCTTCACTGAACAAAATCAGAATAAGCTTTTCATTTGACTAACAGTTACTTGTCCGGGCAAATCCCAGGATAGATAATTTTATGATCTGTGGATCTGGAGAGACTTATTCTTGATTAGGTAAGCTTAATGTCAGAGTTCTGTTGCGAACTGTAGCAGAAGGAAACGCTTTCCTGATGATGCTTGGAAAGAGTAATTTTTCTTTATGACTGTTTTGAGTAGGAAGTTAAGGTGGTAGAGTTAGAAACCTTATTTCATTTTCTACTCAGGTTGCAAATGCCTCGTGGGGAGGGAGAAGGGCTTAAGCTAAATCATCTGTGCACCCTGAGTAACAGAGATGTTCAGATCTGGCAATAAGAATACCTGGACTTACTTGTCTGTGTATTGCTTACTGTGGGTTTTCCCTTTTTCTCCCCAATATATCTCCCTGCCCCTTTCTTTTTTCTTTTTTTTTAATGCAGATCTGGGTGAGGAAAACCAGTGACAGCACAAAGATGAGAATCTATCTGGGACAGCTGCAGCGAGGTGTTTTTGTGATTCGTCGACGATCAGCTGCGTGACTGTATGCTCTTCCTTGGTCTTTGTTCTTTTTTTTTTTTTTTTAAACTGATAGACAAACCTCTAATGGGAAATGGCAGTCTGTTAATTCATCTTAGCAGCAGAGAACACTGTCATGACCTCTTACGAGACAGTTTGTGGCTGGCCACATAATCCCCAGTAGTCCTTAAATCTTTAGTGATACCCAAGCACTGCCCCGGACTATTTCTGGATTTTGCATCAAGCTTCTGTATGCTTTCTTTACGTTTTGGGTGACTATTTAAGAAGACTTCGCATCATACTTTTTTCATCGTTGTTTCCTGGTGCATAGATGGGACTCGTATGTTGAAAACAACGTAACATTTATGTTTTGAATCAGACCAATGGAAGAAGCTTTGCTTGTCAAGACCTGAGGTTATTCGTTCTTTTTGGTTTTGTTTTCCTGCAAGGCTCAGGATGTTGGGCAAAAGGAGATTAATCTTGCCAGCTTTCAGCTGCAGCCGAGAGATGCATCTGTAATACCTGATGTATGACATCAGCTTTATTGGATGAACTGTTTAAAGACTTGAGCACTGAGGCTTTTTTTAGGAAAGCGTGAACAGCTTAGAAACTGCTGAAAATCCAGTTGATTTTAATGTAGTTAAGCAGTCACATGTGGTTAATCAGAAGCTTCCGTTTCTCTTCACATTAAAAAACCCTTCAATGAACAAGCAAAGAGTGTATCTACTTGCTGAAGTCATTTCCTGAAATAGGTGGATGAGTATTAAACCAAAGGATTAATTAACTGGACTTTGCAGATAGCGAGACTATATGTATGACTATAACAACTCATACATGTAGAGAGACGAAAGGTAAATTTCACTTTCTTTACTGATGCTTAGAGTAACAGGTCATGCTGGAATCCTGCTGACAGAAGATACTGGATCTGTTGTATCTTCCAAAGAGGCCTGGTACAGAGTAGAAAGCAGCATTGACATGCTTTTAGTGTACAGCTGAAACCTTCGTTCCCTAAAATGTCATGCAAAGGTTTCCCTTTGAAGGGTATTTTAATTACTGGAGATAACACTGGGTTTCTACACTTGCCCTCCAATAGCACAAGTGAAAATGCTCAAGTGATTTTATTAATATACTCCCTTCCAAGATGTTTAAAGATCTGACTCTGGCATTCCTTTATTATTCCCAGCCTTTTGCTGATGGCTGAAACCACCAATACCATGTGTAACTGCACTGGCATGAACTACGCAGGGCACTGGCAATGCTGTCGGATCTTTGCCTTCTGTGCTCCTTTTGATTACCAGACAAAAAGTACAGGGCACTGGCAGTGCTGTCGGATCTCTGCCTTCTGTGCGAAAGAACTTTGTGCTCCTTTTGATTACCAGACAAAAAGTTGTAATTTCTGCCTTTATCAGTATCTGTTGCTTTGAGACATCTTTCGGTTTTGCTTTTGAACTGCCTTCTTGTTCAGCACCAGTCTAACCTTTCTTTCATATCTGGATAAATGGAGTATTTTAAATGACTGTTTCCATTTCTTTTACTTACTGCAGTTGGGTGGCAGTCACATCCCAATAACTGATGTATGTATGTGGATCAGGAGTGGAGTGTTACGGCTGAGTTTCTGATGTGTTGCCTTTGTGGCTGAGACACCGTACCTGTTTTTACTGTGTTTAGAGTTTCAGCTGGATCTGGAGCCTTGGCAAGGAAAGGAGAGGGTGTCTGTCTCCCACCCTTGAAAATGTGCCATCTTTGCTGCAGCGTTAGTCAGGTGGAAAGCAGCAGGCTGTGTTTTGTCAAGTTAACAGCGTACTCAATATAACAGCATTCTCTGCACGTGTGACAGGTTTTTAATAAGGTGATGATGTACCAAACAGGATTTGTCACTGAGCCTTAAAACGAACATCATGGTTCTTATAATAAAAAGTGCTAGGTAAATAGCAGGATTTATTTCCTACCTATATCATTTTATCAATATATGTGTTTGTGGAAATAGCTGGGAACTTTGATTCAATTTTGGGGAGATATTTTGCCAGCCTGCTAACAGCAGGTGATCTCTCTGCTGCTGTGATGTTATCTGTTTTGGGGTAGCTTTAAAGGTACCCCTTTAAGAGCCAGGCGTGGTATAGGTGCACATTGTGTAAGCTTAATTATGTAGCTTCGACACGACATCTTAATCTGAATCAACAACATCTGCTCACCATCCCTATTCCTTGGCAGAAGGGGGGAAAGAATAGCTGCTCTCACAGCCAAAAGCCTGTCTTTCAATCAGCTGCGGTCTCACGTTGCAGGGGGGTGTGATGGGATGGGACACACATTTCTAGTTCACACCCCAATCAGAATTTGCATAGTCTTCTGGAAGCAAATACCTGTGGGACTGTTGCACCATCTCCCTCTTCTGTAACGCCCTCTGTGGATGTGCAACTGTGCTGAGAAAGTTACTGTTATCACAAGGAGTCATCTCGTGTTGTTGCAGATAATCAAAGAGCGTAGCCTTCGACTGCAAGCTGTAGTGGGAGAAAACAAGCTAAGAAAGAATGAGGACAGTGAGCAGTCAGGGTGGGAAGGAAGAAATTTAAGTGTACTGTTGCATTGACTGGGGAGATGGGTTGCGTAAAGTGTTCCTGATTGAGGGCAGTGCTTCAGCATGGAAGTTGTCAAAACTTGATCTCAAATTCTTACTCTACTCTTTCACGCCCATCTTGGATCTCCAGGAAGGATGTGTGAGGTTTGTACAGCTCCTTTCTGTCAGAGTTCCTTGCCCATTGCCAGTTTCCCCAGTGCCCCTGGATCAACCTTTCAACTATATAATTTCTGCTGTTGACAGTCCGGAGTGTGGGCTTGTAGCCCTCTGTGCTCAAATTTAACTGCTACACTGAAGGTATTTTGTTTTAAGGCTACTTCATCCTTAGTTTCTTTTTTTAATGAAAGGAAAGTCTTTCTTGCCTTAGTTGATCACCATAAAAAGTAGATCTGTCTCCTCTAACAAAATACATGAATATTGTATCCTGTTTTTTCAAGCAGGCTGTTCTGTAATGGCCTATGCCATTTACAGGGCTGAAAATGATAAAAATGCAGTGCCTTATTGTGCAGTCAGGGAAGCAGTAGACTTTTTTTAATCCTAGAAAGATGCTCAAAATGTGTTGTGACGAGGATGAGGCATGTGGAGGTCAAGAGTACAGACATCAGCTGTAGAAATGAAGATTTCCTGCCACTGGTTGGAAAAATAGAGACAAGTTACTGAAGGAGTTGGACAAGGTCTTGCTTAAATTCTGAGAGAAAATTGGCTCTTCTGTCTGTTATTTGCCTGTCTAACATCAGTCTTTTGAAGAATTCAAACCCTTAGTGAACAGAAATGGCTTTGCAACAAGTATGAAAAGATTTAATCCTCATTATGAACAGCGTTTAAAGTAAATTTAAGAAATGGTTTTAACTCCCAGTTATAGTCATTTTAAAGAAAGGTGAACATTCTGCCAAAAATAGACTTTTATTGAGGGTTAAATTGTAGTTGGCTGTTGACTCATATTAAGCATTTTTTTTCATTGCCTTGAGAAATGGACTGTGATGTTGATCAAGTGCAAAATAAAAAAGATTCTGCCCCCCCCAGCCATTAGACGTTCAAATGGACGGGAAGCCAGATCAGTGAACCAACTTCCAGTGGCTTTTTGACATCATACTCACTGAAAAGTTTCAAAAGAGGCTTTTTCCTAGGATGAATGCTAATAAAAGAAATTGTCTTTTTTAGCTCATGTGCTTTGTCTGGAATTTTGTAAAGAGACAAAGTGACTTAACAGAAGTCTCGATTGTTTGTAATTTTTCATACATTCCTGGGCCGCTTACGAAAATAAAGCCTAAAAGAGCAAGAAATTGCCGTGACCCTTCTGAATAACAGAGGTCCTTCCTCTTTCGGAAGAAGAAAAATTAAAACACCTTTTGGGTTCTCGTTCCACAGAAGTAAATAGCAAATGCTAAATGATTAAGAAAACCTGAGTGGGTGTTTAAGGTTTGCCGTTACCAGTTTTAGTTTGTCCAATTCTAAAACTAAAAATATATTGTATTTAGAAAACAAAAGAATGAGTATTTCCATTTTTCTATGATTTATTGAAAACTCGTTGTCGCTGGAACTTCACATTTCATTCAGCTGAAGAATTCCACTATTTTAATGTTGTGCTGAATTTGGGAAACACCTTTAACTCTTAACATCAGCTCAAATTTGGGATGCCAAAGTATGTTGTAATACCTTAAGTACCTATCTCTTTACAGTGGAGTCAATGCTGGTATTTAGATTCCTCCTTTTTATGCACGAATGCTTTTCTCTAAAATATTCCTGATTTCAGTTTAGTTAATAAATGTGTGTAAAGAACTGTTCAGGTTTGTATTACTTCATTGAGAGCAAAAAAAATAAACTCACAAAAGGCTTTGGGTTTTTTCCCTCCGATCAGATGTTAAGAAATGAGGGGAGAGTGGCTCAGAGAAACCTCGTACCCTGGGACCAAAATTTGAATAACATTTAGGTGACAGAAGACATAAATGCAAAATATTTTCAATGGTGTGTGTATATATAAGCAGGATGGGTGTCTAAACTCCCCTCATATAAATGAGACACTGAACAGCAATACAGGGAGAGTTACTTAAGCCTGTGGTTCTAAAATAGGAATGCTTTGAGCAAAGCCAGTCATTTTTAGGGCTTTGGAACCAAGAGATCTAACCCCCTAGAAACAGCTACTGATGTATTTAATCAATCTTAAATTTGAAACCTGAGTTGTCCCGTATGCCTAAGGTAGCTTTGTCATTTTTCATTTAGTTCTAATTTGCATCCACGTGTTCTGCCCCAAATCTTGAGAGGAAAAAAAAATAAGACTAGAAAGTGATGAAACACATTTTTCATTTCACTTTATTAATGTTCCTTATTTTTATTGAATTAAGATTCTTTTGACAGTGATGATAGCTATTAAAACAGCAGAGATCTGCAGGCAATCCCAGTTAATGAAAGCTAATGATCTTTAATGAACATAAGTACAAATGCAAATCAAGGTTAAAATCGGTGTCTTAAATCAAGGTTTCTGCTTGATGGTTTAAATCCTGTTTGGAATCGGTGACTGAAAGGTGTCAGAGCGAACAGATGGGTTGCACTGACTAACATGGGTTTGGAGAGCGGTTGGCTCAGGACACGTGGCTGTAGCTCCGTGTCTGCTTGCCTCATAAAATTAAAAGGTAGGTGGAGTTTTTTGTTTGTTTGTTTGTTTTCAGGGAAGTAGTGGATGTCTGACAAATAATTCATTTCTGTTGAAACAAATAGTTGAAGGTGGCTGCTGATCATGTCAGAATACTGAAGAATTACTCATTACGGGGAAGAAATATCCTTTTGCCCATGAACTAAATTTTAGTGACAGTACGTCATAGTCACATGAGGGTTTTTTTTCCCAATGTGATGAGAAAGCAATGTTCCAAACCTCGTACGTCATGAGGCATCGGGTAATGGGGAAAAATCTGAAAACTAATGATACTAAATCATGTAATATAGTTGCACAAAATTAGTATAAACACAGAAGGCGAATATTCTGATAAGGATTTCTGTGGTATTAAAAAAAAATCTCATCCCTTGAAATTGGGAATTACTAAACCCCTCGGTTTAAGACTGTCCTGAAGACCATAAGACGTGACAGAAGAGTTTCACATGTAACTCGGGACCCAGGGACGCATGCTCTGTCATAGTA